TATAAGAAGTCTGAAAACTTTTAATTTATAGGAATTACTTTATACTTAGTCTTCATTGCTTGTCTTGCCAACTGTATTGGTTGTTCTTGGTCTTTGCCTTTTGTATAAACTTGTGAATCAGCTTATCATTTTTCACCAAAAAAGCGTAAGGTATTTTGACTGAGATTAAATTTAATCTAAATATAAATTTGAGGATGATTGACTATGGTAATTTTGAGTCTTCCAACTCATTGGCACCATATATTCCTCTATTCAATTTGGTCTTGAATTTCTCTCAGAGGATTTGCTCATCTTCTACTAGGTTTTTCTCCTAGGCATTTTATTTTTTGATGTTACTAGTTTTTGTTTTTTTTTTCTGTGTAAGTTTCTGAGCAATGCATTCTCTCTGACTTGTTTTCACCTTGTAAATTTTTAAAATTTTGACCTAATTTGAGATTTACAGAAAAGTTGCAAGAATAATTGCAAGAATAAAACTTTCCAGATGACCTTCACCTGGATTTCCCAGTGATGGTATTTTGCTTTAATCTCCCTTTCTCTGTCTGTCTCTGTCTTTCTCTTTTCCTCTCGGTTTGCCTCTTGCCCCATTTCTCCATGAATATGTAAAATCTTTTTGAATTAGGTTGCAGACATGATGTCCCTTTACCCCTAAAATACCACAAAGAATTTTCTTATGTAACCACAGTTCAGTAAAGTTCTGAGACAACTTCAGCCCCAGATGACATCTAAATGCAGCCACATGAAAATCCCAAGACAGAACTGCCAAGTTTGTTTGCCCCAAATTACTGACTCAGGAAGTATTAAGCAAAATGAAGTTTTCTTTTGCTTTTTTTTCCTACTGCTATTAACATTTTTGGAAAACTTTGTTACACAGCAAAATAACCAGGACACTTACCATGTGACCTGCATTCTAAATAGAGGAATATTTGTCCTCTGATCTTCTATTTTACTGTCTCTACCTTGTGCTGATCTAATGTGGTGATCCACTCATTCTCTAGTTCTTAATTTCAGTTATTAAGTATCAGCTCTAGAATTTTTATTTGTTTTCTTGTTCTCATTTTTCTGCCAAGATATAACTTGACAACTAATTCTATAATCACTGTAATCACAACTACTTAAATTCTCTGTCAGATGACTCTAGTAGCTGAATACCTTGGGAAATACTTTTTAATGTCTCCTTTTTCCTCTTGGTTTTCCAGGAGATCTCTTTTATCTAAGTATTTTTAAAATGACAGACATAGATGTAGAACATTATAGAAATCCTTCAGAAAAGTTTTTATTTTGCATCTTTTGTTTAGAGATAGATTTAGGATTAGAACAGCTTATGTAACATTCTTTTTTTTTTTTTTAAATGGAGTGTAATTGCTTTACAATGTTGTGTTAGTTTCTGCTGTACAAGGAGTGAGTCAGTTATATGTATACATATATCCCCTCCTTCTTGAAATGCAAATCAAAACTACAATGAAGTATCTACAATGATTAATACCGGACATGATGTGGAGAAAAGGGAACCCTCTTGTACTGTTGGTGGAAATGTAAACTAATACAGCCACTATGGAGAACAATATCAGTTCAGTTCAGTGGCTCAGTCGTATTCGACTCTTGGTGACCAGATGGACTGTAGCACGCCAGGCCTCCCTGTCCATTACCAACACCCGGAGTTTACCCAAACTCATGTCCCTTGAGTCAGTGATGCCATCCAACCATCTCATCCTCTGTTGTCCCCTTCTCCTCCTATCTTCAGTCTTTCCCAGCATCAGAGTCTTTTCAAATGAGTTAGTTCTTCACATCAGGTGGCCAAAGTATTGGAGTTTCAGCTTCAGCATCAGTTCTTCCAAAGAATATTCAGGACTGATCCCTTTAGGATGGACTGATTGCATCTCCTTGCAGTCCAAAGGACTCTCAAGAGTCTTCTCCAACACCACAGCTCAAAAGAATCAATTATTTGGCACTCAGCTTTCTTTATAGTCCAACTCTCACATCTATACATGACTACTGGAAAAACCATAGCTTTAGCTAGATGGACCTTTGTTGGCAAAGTAATGTCTCTGCTTTTTAGTATGCTGTCTGGTTTGGTCATAACTTTTTTCTAAGAAGTAAGCATTTTTTAATTTCATGGCTGAGGTCACCATGTGCAATGATTTTGGAGCCCAAGAAAATAAAGTCTGCCACTGTTTCCCCATCAATTTGATATGAAGTGATGAGACTATTGGTCCTTTAATGGACCGGAACCTGGTGGTCCAGAGAGTAAGAGAGAGAAAGAGCCTGATACCCCCTGGTTTATGCGGAAAGCCAATACAGTCCTGTTCTTAGGGCTCGAGCTGCTGCACGTAGGCACCAGGTGCCCTCTCGAGTGAGTGAAGGCACAGTGTGCCTTCTCTAGAGGGTCTTAGAAGCCTGGGCAAGAAAGTGAGCTCAGCGGGCCTCCGCGCTCCAAGGAATTAGCCAGAAATAGAGAGAGAAGAAAGAAAGAAAGACACGACACGGGGACCAAAACTCTGATGGAGCAAAGGTGTTTTAATCAGCATGGTGTGGGCATATATACTGTAGTTATTCTCAGCAAAGATAAAGATTAAAATTCCAGAGCTCCAAAACATAATATGATCCCTATTGAAGAGAGAGTTGCAAACAATCACCTTTCACCGTATGGCTCATAAAAAGGAAGAGGGTACTTATCACTGTAATGAGAAATGCCTGGATTCCTCAGCCCCGGGAAAGGCATGCCTCTCCTCTTAATTCCTGAATATTCAGGAATCAATAAGGGCCAGAGCGTTCCTGACAGATCCAAAACAGCACACAGGAAGCCTCTTGTTAAATGCTTCCTGACATGAGACCAGATGCCATGATCTTAGTTTTGTGAATGTTGAGCTTTAAGCCAACTTTTTCACTCTCCTCTTTCACTTACATCAAGAGGCTCTTTAGTTCTTCTTCACTCTCTGCCATAAAGGTGGTGTCATCTGCATATCTGAGGTTACTGATATTTCTCCTGGAAATCTTGATTCCAGCTTGTTCTTCATCCAGCCCTACATTTCTCATGATGTACTCTGCAAATAAGCTAAATAAGCAGGGTGACAATATACAACCTTGATGTACTACTTTTCCTATTTGGAATCAGTCTGTTGTTCCATGTCCACTTCTAAGTGTTGTTTCTTGACGTGCATACAGATTTCTCAAGAGGCACATCAGGTGTCTGGTATTCCCATTTCTTGGAGAATTTTCCACACTTTGTTGTGATCCACACAAAGTCTTTGGCATAGTCAATAAAGCAGAAATAGATATTTTTCTGGAACTCTCACTTTTTCGATGACCCAGTGGATGTTGTCAATTTGATCTCTGGTTCCTCTGCCTTTTCTAAAGCCAGCTTGAACATGTGGAAGTTCACGGTTCATGTACTGTTGAAGCCTGGCTTGGAGAATTTTGAGCACTACTTTGCCAGCATATGAGATGAGTGTGATTGTGCATTTGAGCATTCTTTGGCATTGCCTTTCTTTGGGATTGGAATGAAGGCTGACCTTTTCCAGTCCTGTGACCACTGTGAGTTTTCCAAACTTGCTGGCATATTGAGTGCAGCACTTTCACAGCATCATCTTTTAGGATTTGACATAGCTCAACTGGAATTCCATTACCTCCACTAGCTTTGTTCATAGTGATGCTTCCTAAGGCCCACTTGACTTCGCATTCCAGGATGTCTGGCTCTAGGTGAGTGATCACACCATTGTGATTATTTGGGTCATGAGGTCTTTTTTGTACAGTTCTTCTGTGTATTCTTGCCACCTCTTCTTAATATCTTCTGCTTCTGTTAGGTCCATACCATTTCTGTCTTTTATTGTGCCCATCTTTGCATGAAATGTTCCCTTGGTATCTCTAATTTTCTTGAAGAGATCTCTAGTCTTTCCTATTATATTGTTTTTCTCTATTTCTTTGCATTGATCACTGAGGAAGGCTTTCTTATCTCTCCTTGCTATTCTTTGAAACTCTGCTTTCACATAGGTATATCTTCCCTTTTCTCCTTTGCTTTTTGCTTCTCTTCTTTTCACAGCTATTTGTAAGGCCTCCTCAGACAGCCTTTTTGTTTTTTTGCATTTCTTTTTCTTGGGGATGGTTTTGATCCCTGTCACCTGTACAACATCATGAACCTCCGTCCATAGTTCTTCAGACACTCTGTCTCTCAGAACTAATCCCTTGAATCTATTTCTCACTTCCGCCGTATAATCATAAGGGATTTGATTTAGGTCATACCTGAATGGTCTAGTAGTTTCCCTACTTTCTTCAATTTATGTCTGAATTTGGCAATATAAGAGTTCAGGATCTGAGCCACAGTCCTTTTTTTTTTTTTTTTTTTTAAGATCTTTAAAATTTAATCAGTTGAATTTTTAAAAAAACATCTGAGAACCAGGAGACCAGAGTTCTAGTTCTTAGTCTGCATTAAATATATGTCCTTAGGTAAATCATTCCTCTTCTTTAAACTTTGGTCTCACCTGAGCTCCCTATGACAGCCAGCATCTGTCCACTCCTCATTTTGAAGCTCAGGTTCTGAATGCGCTGCTCACAGGAGTCCTTGTGAGATGTCCAGGGCATCTTGAAGTGAGCCAGCTGCTTAAACAAAGGTACCTGGGAGGCCATATCCAACCTTCCCTTCTGCTTGGGGAATTGTTTGACCCTCTCTGTCTGCTCCTCCCACCGGTCCTCAGGTGGAGCCACAGTCCTTTAAAACCTAGGACTAAAATTAGCATATGACCCAGCAATCCCACTACTGGGCATAAACAGCGAGGAAATCATAATTCAGAAATACACATGTAACTCATTCTTAGGACAATTCATAGCGTAAAAGAAAATTTTTTGGCTTTCTCAGACACGGTACTCTCAATAGAGATTAAAATTAGATTAACTTTGCTGTTATTTTATAGCTCCCATCTCAGGCTCCACCACTAGATCATTATTTAGCTTAAATCAGTTTCCAGTTCTTCAACCCCCCAGCGCTCTAATCATTGCTGTTTCTGCAGGAAAACAAACCCAGGCGCTGCCCCAGTACAAGGATCCAGTGACGGAACCAGCGGCCTCAGCGGCCTCAGAGGAGAGCGCCCCCTACTGCTCAGGTGAAGGTCCCACAGGACAGAAGACCCTTCTCATTCCCCTATCAGTGCCCCATTGTCCCATTTCTCTCTCCCCAGACAGCAGACAGCTCCGCCTGGTGGCCGGGGGCGGTCCCTGCGCCGGGAGAGTGGAGATCCTTGACCAGGGCTCCTGGGGCACCATCTGTGATGACGGCTGGGACCTGGACGATGCCCGCGTGGTGTGCAGGCAGCTGGGCTGTGGAGAAGCCCTCAACGCCATGAGGTCTGCTCACTTCGGGGCGGGATCAGGGCCCATCTGGCTGGACAACCTGAACTGCACGTTGAGTCCCACGTGTGGAGGTGCCCTTCCCGGGGCTGGGGGCGGCACGACTGCAGACACAAGCAGGATGCGGGGGTCATCTGCTCAGGTCTGTGCTGCACACTGTCCACAGGCTGGGGCAGGGGTGGGGCTCTGGAGGACGAGGATCTGAACCCTGAGGGAGAGATGCTGAAAGGAACAGAGAAGGAGGCTTCCTCCCATGGAACTTGTGTTTCCAGCAGACATGAAGACGAGGTGCTTTCACTTCCTCCTGCAGCCCCTGACATTTTTGTCCTTTCTTCTCCCCAGTGTTTCCTGGCAAAGCCGTTTCTTACAGTTTCCACGCGACAGCAGGGCTCTCTTCAGGTCCCTGTGGTAGTACAGTCTAGAGATCCTGCTGATGCTGTAATGAAAGCACAGATTTACTCTGTTCAGTTCTGTTTGCTAGGAGTCTGCCGACGGTCTCCGAGGGCCAACATCCTGGTGTTCACAGAGCACGTTCTTTCTGGAGGCATGGGGAGGACTCCTTTACCAGCCTTTCCTGGTTTCTATGTGACCTCCTTCCTTGGCTCAGAGCCCTCTTCTTCAGACCTACAGCAAACTATGTCTCTTCTGAGCATTCTTCTTTACATTTCCCTCTCACTGGAGCTTTGCTAGATTATCCAGCTAAGGATACCAGGGCTAAGGAGGTGATTAGGCTGGACTCAGGTGGTTAATTCCAGCTTAATTTCACCACCCCCAAGTCCTTACCTTAATAACATCTGTAAAGTCCATTTTCAAATGTAAGGTAACATATTCACAAGTTCCACAGATTATGATGTAGAGATTTGTGGTTCATTATTCTGCCTACCCCCCACCCCCAGTATCCATATCACATCCCATTCACAGATCCATTTTAGATTTTACCAGGAAGCAGGATCTAGCTCCCACTCCTTGCAGGTGCCCAGATTGGTCTTTCTCTCTCTTCATATCCATGACATCATTGTGGTAGAAATAGACACAAAATGACAAAGTAAAATGAAAGGGAGATTAATGTCATTCTTGTTACCTCGTGGACATCTCCTCAACTAGGTCAGGGATGTATAGTCACAAATTCTTGGAAAGAGGAAAACCCAGAGCCCTGAGTGGAGTGCTCACCATGTCCTGTTTCCTCTCCTTTTCAATCTTAGATTTCCTGGCCCTCAGGATGGTGAGCGAGGACCAGCAGTGTGCTGGGTGGCTGGAAGTTTTCTACAATGGGACCTGGGGCAGTGTCTGCCGTAGCCCCATGGAAGACATCACCGTGTCCATGATCTGCAGAGAGCTTGGCTGTGGGAACAGTGGAAGTCTCAACCCTTTAGTTGCTCTTAGGGAAGGTTCTAGACCCCGCTGGGTAGATGGATCCGTTGTCAGAAAACTGACACTTCTCTCTGGCAGTGTCCTTCTGACCCTTGGGATTACAACTCATGCTCTTCAAAGGATGAAGCCTATATCTCATGTGCAGGTAAATTACTGTTCTGTTTCTGTGTCTGTCCCAACCCCGTAGGATGTTGTTAGTGTGATTTTATGTTTTCCAGTCTAAGTGATGAGTTTAGGTTGAATCTAGAAAAAGGTGGGCTGTGTTTCTGTCTGTGTTTCCATGTATTTGTATTCGTTGTGGGGTATGGACCTGATAAACAGCAAAGAGATAAAGCAATTTCAGCTTGTGGCAAGACGCAGTTAATGTCTCAGCCCATTAGATGATGAAGCCTCTGTTTTCACTTGTTTGGATTAAGCCAAGGACCTTTGATAATCTTCTTTGGGGACCAGACCAGCCCCAGGTGTCCCTGATCCAGCACTTCCCATCTTTGATCCTACAGGAGGGAGACACCAGAGCTGCCCAGCTGCTGCCCCCTCCCCAGGGCTCCCAGGGGCTCCTTCCTCCCACCAGGGGCGTCACAGGAGGGGCTGCTGCCTTTTCAGACAGAGAGAAGCTCCGGCTCAGGGGAGGAGACAGCGAGTGCTCAGGGCGGGTGGAGGTCTGGCACAGCGGCTCCTGGGGCACCGTGTGCGATGACTCCTGGAGCCTGGCAGAGGCCGAGGTGGTGTGTCAGCAGCTGGGCTGTGGCCCGGCCCTGGAAGCCGTGCGGGCCGCGGCGTTTGGCCCTGGAAACGGGAGCGTCTGGCTGGACGAGGTGCGGTGCAGGGGCCGGGAGTCCTCCCTGTGGGACTGTGCCGCGGGGCCCTGGGGGCAGAGCGACTGCAAGCACGAGGAGGACGCCGGGGTGAGGTGCTCTGGTGAGTGAGGGGCGCGGGTCCGCCCTGGTGAGTGAGGGGCGCGGGGT